GTCCAAGTCCTGAACCGGTGCCTGGCCGCTGTGACGGTCTGGATGAGGGTGAGCAAATTGAAGTTGAATCCAGACAAGCCAGAGGTCCTCCTGGTCAGTCGCAAGGCCGAACAGGGTATAGGGTCACAACCTGTGCCGGATGGGGTTACACTCCTATTGAAGGCACAGGTTCGCAGCTTGGGGGTCCTCCTGGACTCATCACTGAGCCTGGAATCCCAGGTTATACGGTGGCCAGGGGAGCTTTCGCACAATTAAAACTTGTGCGCCAGCTGCGTCCGTACTTTGGGAAGTCAGACTTGGCCACGGTGGTCCATGCTCTCATTACATCTAGGATAGACTACACTCCACATGGGGTTGCCTTTGAAGACTGCTCGGAAGCTTCAAATACTCCAACGAGAGGCAGCCAGGTTAATAACTGGGGCGGCATACAGGGAGCATACAACTCCCATGTTACACCAGCACCACTGGCTGCCAGTTTGCTACCAGACACAATTCAAAGTGCTGGCTTTGGCCTATAAAGCCCTAATCGGCCCCGGCCCAAATTACCTGTCCAAACGCATCTCCCCCTATGAACCTCGCAAAGATTAAAATCCTCTGGGGAGGCCCTGTTTTCCATCCCGCCATTGTCACAGGCTTGATCGGTGGGGACGAGAGACAGGGCCTTCTTGGTGATTTCTTCCTGGCTATGGAACTCCCTTCCTGGTGAGATCAGGTGCCCCCCCCCCCTCCAGTCCTTTAGAAGGATGGTAAAAACTTGGCTGTGGGACTAAGCTTTCGGGACAGAACAATAAAGCAGCAATAGGAAAGATTACCAGGCCAATTAGATTTGACGTGGATGATTAGGACGGTTTTAAATGGTGTATTTTAATATTTTGATAAATGTTTTTAATGTTTATGTATGTGTATATGAATTTGTGTCCCGGCATGGAATGTTTGCCGTATATATGCTGTGCTTCTCCCTGAGTCCCCTTCGGGATGAGAAGGGCGGAATATAAATGTTTTAAATAAATAAATAAATTACAATGTCATTCAAACTGCATTATATGGCTGTCTAGATCCAGTGATACAGAAGTTGGCTAAGATGAATGCTTAATTCATTTGAGATTTTAAAACAGTTTTTTCTTCAATATTATGTGCCCCTTGGTGTCTGCTTTAACTTCTCATTTATTTCTTAGTTACTACTTGACACTGTCCTAAATTGTCTTGACTGCTTGATGGTTTCCTCTGACAAGGGGGAGATATATTGTCGAAGGCTTTCATGGCTGGAATCACTAGGTTCTTGTGGGTTTTTTCGGGCTATATATATAGATATATAAACCCATTGTCCTAATTCCAACAGTCCTCACTACCTCTGAGGATGCTTGCCATAGATGCAGGCGAAACGTCAGGAGAAATGCCTCTAGAACATGGCCCTATAGCCCGAAAAAACCCCACAAGAACTTAAGGGGGAGATAGTTTTTTTATCGGAATTAAAACTGTTGTAAGAGATATTCTTCATCTACAAGTCAAACGTTAACAGCCAAAACTTTTATTTTCTGAATCTAGTTTGTGTTGCTCGCACTTCTGTCTATCCTACAAATGAAATTTTATTCTTTAAGGCAGTAAACAATTGACCAATGTTGCATTTATCCATGCAATTCTGAAGTACATGTATGACTCTGGGGGGGGGGGGGGGGGGGGGGGTGGTGGTGGTGGTGATGCTCATCTCTATTTCTAAGAGCTGGGGTTGTCCATAGACATCTCCAAAGTCATGTGGCCAGCGTGACTGCATGGAACGCCATTACCTTCCCACAGAAGTGGTACTTATTGATCTCACATTTGCATGTTTTCGAACTGCTAGGTTAGCAGAAGCTGGGCCTAACAGTGGGAGCTCACCCCACTCTGCGGATTCTAACTGCCAACCTTTTGGTCAGCAAGTTCAGCAGCTCAGCATTTTAACCTGTTGCGCTACCTGGGGGCCCTGTACAGAACTACAAATATTTAAACATAATGCCAGATTTCTGTCAATTGTTCCTTGACTTTGTGAAGCCTTTTCTTGTAGTAATGTTTTTTCCCTCAGAAAAGTGTTACTAACACCTAAATTATTGGAGTCTTCTTTCTGAGACAGTAAGGGTCATGACCAAAGACACTTTTAAAAACATATTGCTGGAGAATGACTCACACTCATGGCAATTTTGCTCTGTTGACTTCAAATTCTTTTTGACCTTTTGGAAGTACATAATATATAAGATATATCACATGAAGTATAGAGTCAATTCCCTCACTAATTTTCAAAATTCTAGGAGAATGATGTTTAGCCTAAAATGTTGTATAAATTCACGTTTTTAGTTGATTAGATTTCTTCTGAGGCCAAACTGGATCTCAGCAGAAAGCATGTGAATAAAGAGAAAAATGAACAAAAAATTATGTCTGGTTTGTGTTCAGCATGAAAAATGTAAATACAGGGAACATTTAGAAGGAACATTAAAGACAAAAGGTTATTTACATCTCAGTGCTCCATCTGTGTACAGCCACTATATTTCAGATACAAACTGTTTGCATATTACATGAATATCAAAACAAAGAGTTTCATTTCCCCTTAACAACTAACAAATTAGGCTCCCACAGACACCTGCTCTGTTCAACAGATGCATATACATTTAGAAAATATATGTTGATTAATCACATTGGCACCAAAATTAATGGAACTGTTCGAAGGAAGACATAGCTGTTGCTATTTTGATGCCATGTTTCCTATCAGTAATCCAGGGTACTTTGTGTGTTGCATGCATGCATACATACAGGAAGAGACAGAGAGAGATTGAGAAATGGAGAAATAGTGATTATCCTGTCTTCTTTGGCTGGATCTATACTGTCCTGTATCCCAGGAAATGCTTCCAGATTATCTGGCAGTGTAGACTCATATAATCCAGTTCAAATCAGATAATATGGTATCAGATCCTGGGATATAGGGTGGTGTAGATCCAGCCTTACACTTCATGTAGGTATGGAAGCTCAGTCTTGGTCCAACACACTTAAGGAATGCAGCTTAATCAGTGAAGAAAAATGATGCAGAGACAAATTTTTAAATATGAATTTCATGAACTGTCAATCTTAATTAGTTTTTAGGACAGCATTTTAGGAATGCTTAGGTGCACTTGTGTTGGATTTCAGTCAAGAGAAGTAGCATACTAAGACTGTTTGTGCCCTTTCATCTTCTTCTTAGATTGGCATATTGTCAGGGTTGCACTGCAAAAAAGTCTTATAATGAAAAATAAAGGAAAAAGTCATATTACAAAAAAGTATATGCATCTGGCTTCAAGCTGCATTTGTGGGAGAACAATTTTGAGAAAGAAAAGTATAGAGGTGCAGTCTACAAATGGACTTCTGCCAAATTTTATGTTTCTGGTGCTGAGCTTGGGAAAAAGAGCTAGTGAACTTGAAGTCTAGGATGTTCTGAAAATTCAGTCAAAATAACTTACCTTTTCTAGACTCTGTGCTACTTTTGTTTTTAACTTCTTCCTTGTAAAAATAACTTGTCTTGGACTTTAAATGGCCCAGTGGGGCAAAAACTATTGCAAAATTGCTTCCTCCACTCTCTGAGTAGTATTTAGAGGCAATTTATTAAATTGTCATGTTTTTTTTTCTTCACTGTATGGTGGTCACAAAATGCCACCTTTACTGAGTAAGCACACTTTTGAGCTTCAAAATTGCCGAATAGTATAGTATCATACATTGTCCTTAATGAGATTTGTGAATTATTCCCACCACCGATGAAAAAAGTGTAGATGAAAGATTCACACAAGAAAAAAAATCCGAACACGGTTCACTTTGGAAAAATTTTCCTAAGAAAATTTACTTGCCTAGATTTCAGATTGTCCAACAAGATCTAGATGGCCGTACCTGTTTAACACCCTTGATTATATATTTTTCTCCTTCCTGGTTTTTCAACCTATTGAGTTTTATTGTGAGGTATCATCAAACTTCCTGCTCCAGTTATATCATAGCGGAAAACCTCCAATTTAGATTGCTGTAGTCAATAGAAGTTATTCATAGCAACCTACTATTGTGAGTAAAATAAAGAGAGCTGCATACTTCATTTATTTGTAATGATGTCAGAATTACTGAGAGTTTTGATTTATTGTTCACAAACACCATGTTTGTGCAAAATGTCCAGTTGCTCCTGCTTAACTCTTCTACTAATACAAGTGGCTAAGGGCCCTTCCATACAGTCATATAACCCAGAGTATCAAGGCAGAAAATCCCACAATATCTGCTATGAACTGGGTTGTCTGAGTCTACATTGCCATATATTCCAGTTCAAAGCAGATAATGTGGGGTTTTCTTCAGCTGTGTGGAAGGGGCCTAAGTTAACCGAGAACTAACCAGCAGCCAAAGCCAGACTCCTGAATTGTTCCTCTTACAAATCAAAGTCTGATGCCAGTTTATTGTTTCTAGTTGGTTAGTGAAATGACAAACCAGAATCTGACTTCCTCATTAGTTTCTTGTTCGTTTAGCTGCTCCTGCTGCTGAGAACAGGAAGGGGATATTCTGGCGGTGTGTTCAAGTATCCTGCAGATGAATGGAGACACAGTGTTTTCAGGAATGTTAACCTATCTTTACATCTGAACACAGCCTCTTTCAAACTCATATATGTGCTTCACTGGGAAAGTAAAAGCACTTGGAAGCTTGTGATATTACACCTAGCTTCCTTGTGATGGATGAAATGAAAAATTCGGTGAAGTGCAAGTTGTAGCAAATGAAACGTGAACAAAACATAATTTTCGAGGAGCAATTTGACAACAGTCCTTTTCTGTTTTTTTCCTTTATAGGTACCTTTTATACCATTTCTCTTGTGAAGGCTATTCAGTAGTAGAGACCTTTTTTAATCGAACACTCCACAAATTATTATCTCTTGACTCCCAGCTGACATCCTGCTAGAGACTAACTCTGCTAAGCCAACTAGACCTGTGCCCACTGTCTTGTCAAGGGTTCTTATTTATTTATTTTTCCTTTCACAGGAAGAAGAAGAAAAAATGAAGCTGGGCAAGGTGGAATTCTGCCATTTTTTACAGATAATAGCTCTTTTTCTCTGTCTATCTGGGATGAGTCAAACCGAACTCTCAAGTTCAAGATCAAAACCCTATTTCCAATCTGGGAGATCACGAACCAAGCGCAGTTGGGTATGGAATCAGTTCTTTGTACTGGAGGAATACATGGGAACCGATCCTCTCTATGTGGGAAAGGTAGGAAACCTGGTCATGCTTTGTACAGCATTGCTGTATTATGTTACGTAAACTGTTAAGATAATGTGATTGTGAATTGCCTGTGATTTAAAAAAGCTGTTATAAAATATTTATTTCAGTTCAGCACCCATTGCACTTCTAAGTGTGCCGATTTGAAGGTCAATTCTATTTCTTTCAACATACTTGGTCCTTCTGGTGCACATGTCTCCTGTAGGATAGCTGCAGCCACTCTGATGTTTGTCTTCAAATTTATTGAGATGTGTGAAAATGCAGTAGCGGGGAAATACCTTAACCTCCAGATGTGGTTGAACTACAACATTCTCCAGGTTTAACATACTCAATACTGAAGGTTAATTGGAAGTTGCAGTCCTGCAACTTCCGGAGGCGCACATATTCTGCATTCTCAGTCAAGTAAAGGGGGGCCAAGGCGGTTATGTGTGCCAAGTTTGGTTTTGATCAGTCATTGGATTAGGGTCGCAGTGGTCTCTGGGAGAGCAGGTACTTCAAGTCCCATCATCCATGGTCTGCCCTCCTCCAAACTGCAGCGGGATTTAGTGTCAGTCATGGGGGCTCTGTGTGCCAAGTTTGGTCTTTATCGGTATTTGTTGGGGACCACAGTGGTCTGTGTGAATCGAAGGTTTGGAAAGTACTACAAATCCCATCATCCATTGTCCTTCCTCCCCTAAACCTCACCAGGACATAAAGGGGGGTTATGTGTGCCAAGTTTGGTCTTGAGCAGTCTATAGATGGAGATCTCAGCAGTCTTGAGTGGAAGTCCCATCATCCATGGTCTGCCCTCCTCCAAACTTCAGTAGGATGTAGAGTGGATCATGGGGGCTCTGTGTGCCAATTTTGGTATTTATCAGTGTTTGTTCAGATCCCACAGTGGTCTGTGGGATCTGAAGGGTTTTTAAGTACTACAAATCCCATAATCCGTTGTCCACCTACTCCAATCCACACCAGGACATAAACTGGGTCATAGGGGTTATGTGTGCCAAGTTTGGTTCAGGTTCGTTGCTCGTGGAGATCACAGTTGCCCGTGAAAGTGGCAGCCAATCAGAAAGCTGCCACATACACTGCCGCATACATACAAACATTCACTTTTATTATATACTAACTTGGGGACCCGGCGCTGCCCGGGTAATTTGAGAAAGGCATTGTGTGCCAAGTGCTCTCATGAAGTTATTGAAGGTACTGCGAGTCCCATGGTCCATGGTCCTCCAAAAAGCACCAGGATGTAGAGTGAGTCATGGGGGCTCTATGTGCCAAGTTTGGTCTTGATCAGTCATTGGATGAGTGTCACAGCAGTCTTGGGAAGCAAGTGGAGGTACTTCAAGTCCCATCATCCATGGTCCATCCTCCAGTGGGGTCATGGGGGCTCTGTGTGCCAAGTTTGGTCTTGATCAGTCATTGGATGAGGATTGCAGAGGTCTCGGGAAGTGAGTGGATGTACTGCAAGTCCCATCATCCATGGCCCACCCTCCTTCAAACTGCAGTAGAATGTAGAGTGGGTCATGGGGGCTCTGTGTCAAGTTTGGTCTTTATCAGTATTTGTTGGGGGCCACAGTGGTCTGTGGGAACCGATGGGTTTTAAAGTATTAGAAATCCCATCATCCTTTCTCTGTCCTCCCCCAAACCTCACCAGGACGTAAAGGGGGTAATGGGGGTTATGTGTGGCAAATTTGGTCCAGGACCGTCACCCGTGCTCATATTTGGTATTTATCAATCTTGGTTGGGGGCCACAGTGGTCTGTGGGAACTGAAGGGCTTTTAAGTACTACAAATCCCATAATCCATGGTCCACCTACCCCAATCCACACCAGGACATAAACTGGGTCGTGGGGGTTATGTGTGCCAAGTTTGGTCCAGGTTCGTTGCTCTTGGAGATCACAGTTGCCCGTGAAAGTGGCAGCCAATCAGAAAGCTGCCACATACACCCTCCTCCCTCCACATACAAACACTAACTTTTATCATATACATAGACTAGCTTGGGGACCTGGCGCTGCCTGGGTTATTAGAGAAAGTGGGTAATGGCGGTTCTGTATGCCAAGTTTGGTCTTTATTGGTCATTAGATTGACAGTCACAGGATGTAGAGTGGATCATGGGGGCTCTGTGTGCCAAGTTTGGTCTTTATTGGTCTTTGTTGGGGCCGCAGTGGTCTGTGGGATCTGAAGTGTTGGGAAGTACTACAAATCCCATCACCCATTGTCCACCGTCCCCCCAAACCACACCAGGACGTAAAGGGTGTCACACAGGGGTTATGTGTGCCAAGTTTGGTCTTAATCAGTCATTGGATGAGGGTAACAGTGGTTTCAGTAAGTGAGTGAAGGTACTGCAAGTCCCATCATCCATTGTCCACCCTCCTCTAAACTGCAGCAGGATGTAGATGGGGTCATGGGGGCTCTGTGTGCCAATTTGGTCTTGATCAGTCATTAATGAGGGTCGCAGTGGTTTCAGTAAGTGAGTAAAGGTACTGCAAGTCCCATCATCCATGGTCCACCCCCCCCCCCCTTAGAGCTGCATCAGGATGTAGAGTGGGCCATGGGTACTCTGTGTGCCAAGTTTGGGCCTGGTCTGTGATTTGTAAGGGCTACAATGTTCTGTGGGAAGTGAATCAGGTGAAAGTACTACAAATCCCATCATTCATGGCCCATCCTGCCCTAAACCGCACCAGGTTTAAAGTAGGCAATTGGGCCTCTGTGTGCCAAGTTTGGTCCTGATTCGTCATTGGTGTGGGCCACAGTGCTCTAAGGAAGTGAGTTAAACTACTGCAAGTCCCATCATCCATGGTCCCTCCTCGCTCAAACTGTACCAGAATGTAGAGGGGGTCTTGGGGGGGGAGTCTGTATGCCAGGTTTGGTCTTGTTCTTTCATTGTTGGGGGCCACAAGGTGTTTTGGACTTCAACTCCAACCATTCCTCACAGCTTCAGGCCCCTTTCCTATTCCCTCTGCTACCTCGGAATGTTAAGGTTGGCCAGTCAGAGATCATATGCAAATTGTACCACAGTGGCAGTCAATCAGAATCTTAGAATGTTGAGGGTGGCCAATCAGATACCATATGCAAATTGTACCACAGTGGCAGCCAATCAGAACGCTACCACATACACCTCCCTCCCATCCTTCCTCCGCATACAAACACTGACCTTTATTATATACATAGATAGACTAGCTTGGGGACCCAGCGGTGCCCGTGTTATTTGAGAAAGGCATTGAGTTCCAAGGTTGGTCTTTATCAGTTATTTATGTGGCTCGCAGTGGTCTAAGAAAGATAGAGCAGGCACTGCGAGTCCCATCATCCGTGGTCCATCTACCTCCAAACTGCACCAGGATGTAGAGTGGGTCCATCTGCCTCCAAACTGCATCAGGATGTAGAGTGGGTCATGAGGGCTCTCTGTGTCAAGTTTGGTCTTAATCAGTCATTGGATGGGGGTCGCAGCAATCTCGGGAAGTGTGTGGAGGTACTTTAAGTCCCATCATCCATGGTTCGCCCTCCAAACTGCAGTAGGATGAAGAGTGGGTCATGGGGGCGCTGTGTGCAGTTTGGTTCTTGTTGGTCTTTGTTGGGGGCCACAGTGGTCTGTGTTTACCAAAGAGTTTGAAAGTACTATACATCCCATCATCCTTTGTCCGTCCTCCTCCAAACCTCACCAGGACATAAAGCGGGTCATGGGGGTTATGTGTGCCAAGTTTGGTCCAGATCCATCACCCGTGCTGGTTACAGTGGTCTGTGAAAGTGGGAGCCAATCAGAAAGCTTCCACATACACCTCCGCATACAAACATACATACATACATACATACATACATACATACAAACATTCACTTTTATTATAGATATAGATATAGATTAACATGTTTATATTTCTCCCCCAGAAAGTGAATAACTGAATTGTTCTTAAGTACAGCCAGTACGTATAGCTGTTTAGACAGAATAGCTGAATTATTGTGAAGATCAGAATTCTAGTCTTTTAATTATTTTCTCATGGTTGTATTATTTATTTCAGTTTTATAGTATTCTTCTTTTATTGAAAATTGGTTTAGGATTTTTTACAATGGAAAGTGCCATAAAAGAAAAATACTGGCCAGCATCCTACAACGGGGTCGTGTAGCATAAATCTGAGTTATTAAGTAATAGTTCTGTGTAAACCATGTGTTTAATTGCACAATTTCACGATTAAACCAAGCATCCAATGCACATAGACCATCACATGTAATGATATTGTGTACACAGATATTCTTCTAAATTCTAGAACAGAATATTCTTCATCGAGCAAAAATTGCCATCCTAGAGATACTTAAAGGATTCCTTTTAATTCATGTTCTCCCATTCCATGTAATTGTCTTAATTGGTTCACTGTGTTTGCATGAACCGAAGACATGGTACATTGTTTGACCATCAGAGAATGTTGCCACAGATTCATTACAGCATTGGTTGTTCATTCAATCCTGGTACCTAAAAGAAAATAGAGATAGTTGTGGGCACATTGAAATAGGAACCAGCTTTTGGTTTGAAACACTTAATTGCTGAGTTCATTTGTGTGATCTTATGCACACACACGGACAATATTTTAAGAAGTGATAAGTGTCTTGGAAGCAGACTAGCTGCAAATGTTTGTTATGGTGAAAATGTGTTTCTGAAATAGGTAGAAGGTGGATTGTGAGGATTCCTTTGAGGATTTTCCTGTTGAGGTTAAAAAGGAGATACCTCGATAATTTCCACAATCTGTTCTTTCTCCCTTATTTAAAATGGTGAAGATCATGGCATTCTTGAAGTATGCTGGGATCTTCTCAGTCAGTCACCCACACTTTTTCAATGGGCTTTTGGAGTTGTGTTTCAGCATAAGCCCACCTTCTTTAAAAAAAATCTTTGTCCACGTTGGAACTGTAGTAAAGGAGGTTATGGTAGTGCTCTTTCCAACGTAGTACAGAGGATTTTTTGTCCTTTCGAAATTTGGTTCTATCTGATGAACGTGGAGGGTGTGTGCATTATTTGTTGGGCCA